TTTTTTATATTCTGATGTTTTGATTGATCGAAGGAGCTAGTTAATAAATAATCCCTCCATTCGTATTTAACTGTCTGTACCATTTTATGTGTCAAACGTTTGACTAATTATATGCTCCCGGTGCAAAAATATTATACAAAGTTATTGATTTTAATATTTTTGCTAATATATTTTAAGTGATTGACTATTGGTCAAACTTTAAGTTCGAAAAGTGAACCGGACAGTTATATAGGAATTGGCAACAAAGAAGGTTTGTTTAATTTATTGCTTTTAGTGTTTTTACATTTGGCAGGGTTTTATTATAATTAATGTGCTCTCGTGTGATGCATGAGAATATATTGAACTAAAAATTAAAGTAAACAATATAACAATGTTCGTTTTATTAAAATATAAAATGATAAGTGAACATAGCATGACGAATTCTATGTACTCTGTAAGAAAGAAATCATAGATTTTATAGAAAAAGAATATAATAAGGGGAGATATATATATATGTGTGTGTGTGTATATATATATATATATATATATAAAACTTAATACTGAGTGTAAAGGATGAGCAGAATGTGTTGGTGACAGGCAATCAAAAGGAATTTTACCTTGTCAACGTCTGGAATTCAGTTGAGTTGAACAAAGCTCTCATAAAACGGAATCATCATTGGACGAGTGATTGATGTATTAGGCCAGTTGACACCAAGATACTTCAACTTTCCAGTATCACGGTCAAACACCACTAGCTCATCTGTCAGGCTTGTAAAATACAATAGCTTACCGTCCAGCGAAAACCACAACGGCTCCTTAACAGCACGAGTTTCGATAACAGATTCTCTTGCCCACGATCCATCCCTCATGACCCAAAGTTCATATTTCCAAGGTACAAATGGAAAGAAATTACTCTCAAGATTCCAGCGTTCAAGAGCACTTAACAACCCTTTGTACTCTAGAAAATAAAAACGGTTCTAGTTATTGTTTGGTGCGGGTAAACTGGATATTGTTTCAGTAGAGAAGTCAAATGAAAGTATATGTTCCCTAGATGCTCTCCAATAAAAAACACCAGATACACAAGCACACCCACTAAAACCACCAAACTCAGTGCATGGTATTCTCTTCCAGGAATTAGTTTTGAGTGAATGCAAGTCAATGTGATAACTACTCCCAAGAAAATGCCGTTTTTCATCTTTCAAACTTCCTTTAACAGTATACAGCATTTTGTAATCTTCAAATCTAGGATCAGACCACAATCCAAATGATACACGCGCATATTCAAGGCCAGGAGGGAGTTCCAGAAAGGGCTTAGGAAGGATCTTATACTCAGTCGTTGTTGGGTTCCATAGAACATGACCCAACCTGTTATCATGAAAATGAAGGAGACCATCACAGCTACACCCAGTGAAGGAATAACCTTTAGCTAGAAAACTGGGAGGATATATGTAATACTTGGGTGAGATGATGCCATCCTCTTCAAGGGAATATGCAACAAAACATTTACGAAGATTATCATCAAGGGAATAGACAAAAATGTCAGGCTTCGGCTTCGGCTTAGGGCAGAGGTCTGCCTTCCAATGTTGTAAGCATGATGACAATGCTGTGCATTTTCTCTCATATATGTTGGGATCAGGTAGCCCATAGTAACCTACGCAATAAAAATGGAAACATAATATGAACATTTTTAGATTTGAAAAAACTAAAACTTCTTGTAATTGATGGTATATAGCAAGTGAGGGGATTAATGATGAGCTTAGCTAACAGGCATTTGCTAGCTGTGCTATTGAATGCTTGCTTCTTTTCCACATTAGTTTCTTATTATTGTTGTTTTCATTTTCATCTTTTTTGCCTCTTTTGACCCACCTTTGTGATTAGCTTTTGAAAAAAGATGTGTGCTTTGTTAACATGTGCCTTTTTATCTCTTTATGTTTTCTCTACCTTAGTTCGTTCTTTGCTTCTTTGTTCGTGCTCTGTGATTTATGTATTGCTCGAGTTGGGGGTGAGTAAGGTCTGCAAACACGTACCCTCCCAAGACCCTATTTTTTTTGGATTCTACAGCGTTGTTGTTGTATTTTCCATCATCTCCGATGGAGCCAACATTTCACCATTTTTTTGGCTTTGGGGTGTGATGGAATAAATCAAAATCGATCTCTAAATTGTCTGCGCTTCTTTAATTAATGAAGTAGCAGTTAGTCAAGCAATGCAACTTTCGATGTTGAGCCGGGGGTCTCTTTGGAAACAGCCTCTCTACTTTCGAGTAGGGTTAAGGTATGCGTACACACACCCTCCCCAGACCCTACTCTTGTGGGATTTAATTTTGTTGTTGTTGTTGTTGTACAGTGTTGTTGTTGTACCAAGATATAAAAATACAACACAAATAGTGAACAATCTAATTGTAACATGATAAACATAGAATTCACTTTATTATTCAGAAATTTTGCAAGTACCTGAGTGTTCACACAAACGATTTGGATAGGGTTTGAATAGCTTCTTCCCTGTAGGCGGGGCACACTGGATTCTAGTATTTTCCCTGGAATAAATCTTGGCAGCTTCCGCCTCTGTACCCAAAATTAAAAATTTCCCAAATAATGAACAGTTTAACAAATACAATCTAGACCAATGTTTTGAAAACCGGACCGGGTATCGACTCGAAGGAGCAAGTGGGTCAAGAGCTAACCGGTCGAACCGGTCAACTCGAGGGTCAACGACCCGGTCAAATATATGTAAATAATACTGTAATATTTTATATTACTCCGTATATTATTAGATGACATCACTACTACAAAAACGACCAAATAAATCGCTACATTTGCATCCCTAAGCAAAACAAACGATGTAAAAACAAAACAATTTCGCGTACCGCTTTGCATTTGAATCGGTTATTCCTAAAAACCGATGCAAAAGAGTATTTGCATCGGTTATTAGGAATAACCGATGCAAAAGCCCAAAACCTTTTGAATCTGTTATTCCTAATAACCGATGCTTAGGAATAACCGATGCAAAAGGGTCTCTTATATTCATTCTCTAAATTCTTATCCTCCCCAAACCCTTCGTTGTTTTTCAAGACGCTGTGCCTTCGCTGTTGCCTCGCTCATCGTCACCGTTCCACATTCGCCGTCGCTCCAAGCTTCCCCGTTCCTCGCTCGCCGTCGCCGTACCTCCTCGCTCTTGCATTTGCCTCAAGTAGTCCTTTTCTGGGAGGTAGATCTATAATCCTATGCTTTTCTTGTTTTTGTATCCAATCGATCGCATCAATTCCTCTGAATCCTTCGTTTTCTTTCAGATATTTTAATCTTGCAAGGTTTCCTCGTAGATTAGGGTTTATGTGTAAGCTTTGTGTATTTCGCTTGTCCCTATTTATTAAATCGAAAGATAGGCTGGTTCTTTATCCCTGAATTTATGCCCCTAACCCTAGAAAAATAGCAGCTTTGTTTTTGTTCAATGTTTTTGTGCTTTCCTGCTTATCGTTTATGATTAACGATCCTTAAGAATTGGTTTGTGTGCTAAATGTTTAAGGCGAGAATTCCACGGTTGAAAGAATGATTTTTGTACTTTATGTTTCTTCAAGATTAACGCCTTTTATTGTAATTGGATTGATGATGAAGTATCTGTGTGTGTTCTGATTTGTTTTTTATATGAAAGCTGTTCTAGTTCTCTTTGGTTATAGAATTAGCCCTTTTTGCATGCTGTTTTTGCCTCTTATAATCCTTCTTTGCTAGAAATATGCACTGTTATTGTTATATCTATCTTAAGGACAATTTTTAGATGTAATACATGATTTCCGGGGCCTGATTTGTGCAGTTTTTTCTAGAAAACTGATCTGAAGGTGCTGTTTTTCAAA